TAGGCCTTAGGAGCTGAGTGAATGCTCCACCATGGCCTGACCCAGACTGCCCAACTCTAGAGGCTTCCAGAATTGGAGTGGTATGTGCTGGTATTAACAATCCACTTTGATGTAATGCTTTACAATAACAAAGTCAAAACCTTGTGAAATAGGGAGCTTCACTAGGGTCCTATGGGCTCCTAGTTTGTTTTCCTAATCTATAAAATGGGAATAGAAGAGCTGTCTCGGTATATGTGAATAGGAGTCAGGAAGACCTGGGTTCAAGTCCTACATGTGATCCATATTGGCTGTGTAGCTGGGCAAGTCACTTAACTTTTAAGTGCCCGAGATATGAGTCTTTTACCTTTCTTTGTATTTCCTAGCAGTAATTGCCACATAGTAGGCACTTAATAAATATTTATTGACTGACTAAGAACAGATGTTAATATGCATTGGTAGAGGGACTTTTCTTCTGTGGTATCTCTATATCATTGAAATCATAGGCATGGTACAAAATAATAATCACTGATTTAGAGCTAAAAGGAACCAGAGGAACCATTTAATTCAATCCCCTCATTTTATAGATGAAGAAACTGAATCCCAAAGAGGTTAAGTTAGGCAAATAGTAAGAGCCAGAGGTGGAATTTGAGCTCAGGACCTCTGTTTTCCACTGTACTATGCAATAATAATAATGTATGCATTCTTACAGAGTTGTGAGGAATGTGCTTTTTAAGTCTTAAGGTGTTGTAGAAATGTAACATTATTATTGTGATGACTGCATTTCAAGTTGAGATCTGCTTTGATTTTGTAGAGAAACACTCACCTTACTCTCACCAACTAAAGAAGGGTATATCTCCCAAGTGGTTCAGGATGTTTTTCTCTAATGTGATCACCTTCAGTCCCCATTCTGGTGTGTTCTCCACACTGTTACCACCTCCCTCAGTTGCATTCAACCAATTAACATCAATTAGGCTTTTCAAAGAAATATTTACTGCAAAGATATAGCAAGATAAATATTTCCTTCCAACACCTAGGGGCACATTTCCCCCTACACCACTTTGATCATTGAGGAGAGCAGGCTCACACTTATCATTTCTGCATAATATCCCATCCATTTCACTTCCAATTGCAGCATGGCCAGTGGGTGGATAGTTGGCATTTCTGATTGGTTTGGCATCGGATAGTTGGCATTTCTGGATTAGGTTGGATTGGTTGCTCAGGACTTCATACCTCACTGTCTGGCTTCTGGCAAATCCTGGCATGGATTCCATTTCCTAGATTTTTGGTGGCTTACTCCCCTGACCTTTTGGAGCTCACAGAATCATAGCCAGCTCCAATCTCCGTCACCTAAAAAAGAAAAGGGCAAACTTACAGAGGCAAAGAACAGAGGCCCACATTTATGGGACATATGTTCATTTTGGATGGTGAGGGTCCACGCTTCTCTCTGTCCAGTGGCTTACATGTTTCTCTCCTTAAGCAGTGCCAGGGAGGAAAAGAACAATAGCAAAGCTCTCATGTTGGCTCATCGGTGCCATTTGAATGCACTCCAGGTACCAACGCCTTTGACTACAGTCAGTATTCTATTTCTTTATCATGCAGTGGGCAGCTTGGAAACAGAGAATGTCTGTCCATGCTCCAGATCAGAGACAAGTGATGGAGTTTCATGTTTGAGGGACTGCAAGTAGGCCAAGGTAGTTGGATTGTAAAGTTCATAGAGAGGAGTTTAAGAAGGCTGGAAAAGTAGGAAGGGGGCAAGTTATGAAGAGCTTTAAATAAACAAACCAAAGGAGTTTTAATTGTATCTTAGAAGCAGTAGGGAGCCGCTGGAACTCATTGAGTTGGGATGTGGCATGATCAGATTGACAGTTTAGAAAAATCACCTTGGCAGATGAGTTGAGGAAGGATTGGAGTGGGAGAGGCTTGAGGCAGGGATACCAGTTAGAAGACTATTGCAATAGTCCAATTGATGGACAGCCTCCTCATCCCACTGATATCTTCATGATGTCAGGAAAAAGTGGGGAAGCCTTCTAGTATGTTGGATGGTACTCCTAAACATCACAAAGGGTGAACAATCATGGAAGGGCTGTAATGTGCATTGTTGGAGGGAGTTTTCACATCAATGAGATCACAGATCCATCTTAGTGTTTAAATCTATGTGCATACATGTGTTTAAATTAGATTTTATAATTAAAGTTATACATATAGGGATATATACATATTTGTACACATAAATATATGCACACATGGTTACCTTAATTTCATATTATATATACTTCCTTCACTCACATATATGTATACACATATAGATGGCTATATACATATACACACATGTATGTATATGTATGTGTGTTTATGTGTGTGAAAAGGAGGTAATTTATATATTAAATGGAGGCAATCAGGCACATATAGCACGTGTCACATTTAATACAAACACATGTATGTATATATACATACATGTAGGTACACATGGGTAAGTTGGAATATATACATGCATGTATGCATACATGCATGTGCGTGTGCGTATGTGTGCATGTGTGTGTGTGTGTGTGTGTGTGTGTGTGTGTGTGTGTGTGTGTGTGTGTGTGTAGATTAAGGCAGAATCTGATCTGGACACTGGAGACTGCTTCTAGAGAGACATGTGCTTTGGTTGAGTTTGGCTTAGTCCTCCTGAAGAACGTTCATTTTGGGATGAGAGTTATCTTATTGGTCTCTATGGACTTGTGCTTTGAAATGACAAAAAAAAATCCCCTTACATCATTCTTCTACTCAGTAAACTCCAGTGACTCCTTACTGCCTCTAGGATTGAACGTGAAGTCCTCTTTGGCATTTAAAGCCCTCCCTAACCTGGCCCCTTCCTCCCTTTCCAGTCTTTGGATGCATTGCTGCCCTCCACGGATTCTGTGATTCAGTGACACTGCCCTCCTTACTTTGCTGTTCCTTGAATGGACCTTCCCATCTCCAGCTCTGTGTCTTTGCATTGGCAGTGCCTCCATGCCTAGAAAGCTTTTCCTTTTCACTTCTGCCTTTAATTTTTCTTGGCTTTCTTTAATTCTCAGTTAAAATCCCACCTTCTGCAAAAGGCCTTTTGCAGACCTCTGAGCTGCTAGTGTTTTCCTCTCTGATATTACAAATATTCTCTATTTGTATATATACAAGCTATTGTTGTTGTTTTTAAACATGTTTTCTCCTTTATTAGATTGTAACCTCTTTGACAGAGAAACTGTTTTTGCCTTTCCTTGTATCCCTAGCACTTAACACAGTGTCTGGCCCATTATTAAATGCTTGTTGACTTATTGACTCAGTACCTGTGACAGTGGAGAGAGTGATAGGGGCTTAGCAAGAAGAGTTGCTTGCTTAATAGACTTTTTAAAAAGTATCCATCCATCCATCCATTTATCTATATATCTATCTATCTATCTATCTATCTATCTATCTAAGCCAATTTGGTCAGTAGACTTTAAAAAGAAAGATAATATCTAATATTATCCTCTCTCTTCCCATCTGTTGATCATGTTGAGATGCTTCAAGGTCTCCTTCAGATTTCCTGAGAGAATTTATTTCCCCTCTCCCCTCCCATCTCTTAACTATGGAAGCTATCAGCAAATAGCAGTGGGTACATGTGTCTGTCTAAGTGAGCCTGAGACTGAATATCCAGTCCCTGGCTACCTCCTCATCATTTTATTTTCTTCTTTGTGCATAGGTGATTGAACAGTGATAGCTATTTCTAGGCTTGCTGTCAACATTGGGAGTTTGAGAGGATGGGAGCTTCTGGGTCTGGGACCTGGTTGCTCAGCTAGAGATAATGTCTATATCTTCTCAGAGGAAAAGATGACCACAGCCAGGATGAGCCCAAGGCATGCCCTGCACGCCCAGAAGATGTGGACCTTGTCCAAGTTTACCAGACAGTACAGGCCTGAAGCCAAAGTATTTTGGCTGTTCAACAGTTCCATGAAGTGTCTCATGTTTTAATGTTTTAGGTATCAACCTTCTGGTAACGTATAATAGGAGTGATGGGTTACTATTTCATGTTTTAAGTGTTTTTCAATGTAAGTTTATGAGTCTTTTGTATTTTAAGCATTTCTTTTATCATAGAAAAAATAAATAACTGTCCAATATCTGACCAATTTCATATGTTGAATACCTTCCTAGAAAAGGTCCTGCTAATCTCTTCTGAAGAGAGCTAATGTGAGCCAAACCTAAATTTTAAAAGATTTTTTTTCCTTCCTGGAGAAATTTCTGGGTATAATGAGGCAAGGAACAGAAGAGCTCCATTTCCTCTTCTAAAGATCAGGCTTCTCCAGGACTCAACCCAGTCTGTGGTATACCCTGATGAACTAACTCATTGTCTCTAATGTGGTAATATGGGAATAGGGACATTATTAAGGAAGCCAAGAGACCAGATTCTTTCCTTTCTGAAACTTTCATTAACTCTGCCCCTCACCATGCCCAAAGCATTAAGTAATCAATCTCCATCAAAGAAGAGAGTTTTATGCAAGTAGACTTTGAACCACTGGTCGGTCTTGCAAAAGACTATAAAATTACCTCATGTGAACTGCACAACATCCTTATGCACTAGGTAGTATAAATATGATCATCTCCATTTTACAGAGGAGGAAACTGAGGCTCAGAGAGTTTGGAGGACTTGCTTATGGTTTACTGGTAAACCTTGTTACCAGACTTTGCAACTCTGCTCTTTTCACTAACCACTGTGCTAGAGGAGGAAGAAAATAGAACTTATTTAGTTTAACTCCCTTATTTCACTGGGAGGAGGCTGCAGGCAAGAGGGTTTATACCTTGTCTCATTTCACACAGATAACTGGGGTTAGACCTGGTACTAGAGCCTACAGTCTCCACATTTGTGATCCAGAGCTGTAGTACTTCTATAATGATGGTGAGAGTGAGGAAGTGAGACTCTGTAGATACTGCCAGAGAAAGAAATTATGCCACAAATGCTAATGACCTGGCAGCCAGCTACAAATGGTTTACACAGGTGGCTGCATTTTCCTGTCTTTGTGTTATCCCTTTGTCACACTGCATAGCAGAGTTTAGCAATTCTGAGAGATCGGCATGACAAGTTGGGGCATTTATGAGATGGTGAGTAGGGGTGGAATTCCAGAGTGGCAGCGGGGTGGGCCTTGCCTGCTGCTGTCACCAGAAGGGTGGGAGCTGGTTGTCTTCTGCCCCACCCCCCAAACTCTACCCTCTTTCTGATGTCCCTAGTTCTGTTGAGGGCACCACTACTTTTTCTAGTCACACAAGTTTGCATTCTGAGAGTGGGCCTCAATTCTTCCCTCTTCCTTAACCTTTATATCCGGTCCGTACGCCATCATGATATATCTCACATTTGTAGCACAGTGACAAGCCTAATTCCCCCTTATCAGCACTTGCTTGAACAATTACAGTAATGTCCCAATTGGTCTCTTTACCTTCAGCCTTTCTCCCTACTGCAATCCACCCTTTACATCACTGCTGAATTGATATTTCTAAAGCACCCGTCTGAACATGTCAATCTCCTGAGCCAAAAATCTCTAGTGGCTTCCCTTGCCTCTAGGATAAAATAAAAACTTTTCTGGTATTTAAAGCCCTTTAACCTTTCTAGGTTCATTATATATCACTTTCCAAAGGAATATCCTGACCCTTCCAATTGCTAGTCCTCCTTCCAAAATTACTTTGTATATATTTTGTATTTAATTTTCCATGTATGTATTGTTTCTCCCTGATAGAATATAAGCTCCTTAAGGTCAGAAACTTTTTTCTTTTTGTCTTGGTATCTTCTGAATCTAGTGATATGCCTGCCACATAGTAGGCACTTAATAAGTGCTTGAATAATAGACTTGCCGAGACTGTAAGCAACAACTGTGGCTTTCTTTGTGATGGGGACAGGATCTAAAGCCCTAAAAGGAAAAGACCATGTTTTTGGGAGCTGGACCCCCAAAAATGAAAATCCCTGGACTTTTCCCAAATCTCTGGCATTTGCCTGAGGCTGTAATCCCCTCAGCTGGCCTTTCATTGTGGCTAAGCCTAATTCTGTTCTGTTGCCTCCTGATTGCCCTTGGCCACTCCCCACCCTTAATCTTCCCACCCTTGACTCCATTCTCCCTTGGCCATGTGGTCCAGGTCCTTGGAGTTCTGTTCACCCCAGCTTGATGGCCACTCCCATTCAGATTCTCCTTGACCCCTCCTCCAGTCACCCCAGACTACTTGGCCACTCCTAGATCCCTCCAACAGTCTTTCTGTATATAAGATTCATCTCGTCTCGATTAAGGTGCTCAAATTCTTAAGATCTGGCTCACTTGCATTAGCTATACAAATGCTAAGATTCATTAAGAGTCTAGCAAAGGGTTCAGATTCTGAAGACTTGGCCCGCTTGCATTAGTGATACAAATGTTTAGATTCCTTAAGAGTGGCCAATATGGCATATTCTTTAAATCTCACCCACCCCCAATCAATGTTCTAATAAGCCTTGTCTTTGGCAGAAAGAAGGGTTAGGTCAAATTCATTTGGACAGGACCCGAGTGTTGTGATTTTGGGGTCCCAGCACTCCTAAAACTCAAACTCAACACTTGGGATTGTCCATGAGATCTGTTTTCAGCAAAGGGGAAAAAAAAATCTGTGCTTAAGAGGAAAGGGAATAAGTACCTTACCATGTACTAGCCTTACCATGTGCCTGGCATTTTATAAATATTATCTCTATTATCTCAACAATCCTGGGAGGTAGATACTATTATTACCTCCATTTCAGAGATGAGGAAGCCAAGACAGACATGGGTTAAGTGACTTGTCCAGAGTCACACAGCTAGCATGTCTAAGGCTAGATCCAAACTGAGGTCTTCCTGGCTCCAGGCCTTAGGCTTTCTCCACTGGGTGATCATAGCTACCTGGAGGTAGGATCTCAAAAGGAAAGATCTCAATGACTCTGGCTTGTGCTCTGCTCTCATTCCAACAACTCTCAGCTGCCCATTATTGGGAGCAATTGATAAGTAGAATGTGAGCCCTTTAAAGGAAAAGGGCTGTTGATTGCTTTATCTTAGTATCCTCAGTGCCCAGCTTGCCTGGTGTTTTACAGAGAGAGTCTAAGGCAGAATTTGAACCCAGTTCTTTGGCTGCAGATCTAGCCTTTTCCCTCTGTATTTATACTACTATTGTTTTTTGTATTCATACTACTTTCCTTATACTACTTTTCTTGCCAAAGGTTACAAAGTTGGCAAATAATAAAGCTTCTGACTCCAAGTCCTGAGCTCACTCTAGTCCAGTGTCATGCCTCTCCTCACCATCAGCAGACACTTGCATACAGTGATTGCCACTGCACTCAGTCCTTCTGAGACAGTATCAGGGCCTGCCCTGAAGAAGGTTAAAAGCTTGTGGGAGGAAGCAAGAACAAAGGGGGTTTAAGTGAACCAGGCAGAGTGGCAAATGAGAAATCTAATCGCCTAGACCCAAGAGCCATGCAGCTTGTGACTGTCTGAATGAACAGGAGAGAGGTCAGCCACTGCAATTTTCAGTCCAGAATCAAGGCTTCTTTACTCAATTTGTTGGAAAAGGTTTCCAGCTCACTCAGATTTCCCATGGCTTTGCCTATGAGTAATGTTCTCGGCTTGCCTGGCTCACTTAGGCAGTGCATGATGGAAAACAACACCTTGTGAAATGCTGTTTGTAATAGAGACAGAGGGGAAAAAAATCATCGTTGATGGCTTATTTACATTCATCATCCCATTTCCAAATGGAGCCCTCTCGCTATGATTAGTTGCTTTCAGCCTGGTGAGCGGTGACAGATGTGTGTTTATTTCGGTTGAGTCACGGTGTCATTCATATTATCTTATTTACCAATGTTTGCCATTTTATAGTTCTAACTAGCAGGGTGACTCACCGACAGAAACAGAGAACAAGAACAGAATAGCCTTTTATTAAATCTTGCTCCCTCCCCCCTGTTGCTCCACCCTCCCTCCCCTCACTCTTTGGACTGGAACTGGAACTGAAATTTTTTGACTTCTGAGACTGAGCCTGACTCATTCAAATTACCATATATACCACCATGGCTGCACTTTTGACAATATAAGTCTTGGAGCAGGGACAAAAAAGGTTAAAACTGAGCCCTGTGCATGTATGCAGGGGTTATGATGACAGAGTCCAGAATCCTACTGGTCTTGGGCAGTGACTTTACAGCAGATATTGACTATCTGGGTAATTAGGGGCTGGGTGGCTGCCCTGTCTCCTCTTAGGTCTCATCGTCCCTGTCTTCTTCCCTGCTGCCCTTGGCTTTGGCCTGGGTTTTCCTTGGAGTTGGGCAATACTCAATTCCATGTAGTACTCTGAAGAGATGGCCTTAGGGAGCTGATGTTCTCTCTGAAGCACCGGGAGATGATGAATAACTAAAAAATTCCTACCCTTCTCTCTCCTCCCTCCTCCCCTCATTCCCCCAGCAGCCTGAAGCAGTATGAAAGAGCTAGCCAGTGCAAAAAGGGCAAACTTCTCTAGTGGAGTGCTACAGTATATGGGAACAAAAACTAAATTTAAATAGGAGACTTGGGTTCTAATCTACCACTAACTCAGAGTAAGTCAATCAATTTATCTACATCTCAATTTCCTCAGTTTCAGGGGGTGGGAAGAGTAAAAACCTCTTACCTGTTTTTCAGGGTTTTTGTGAGAATCAAATAAGATAAAAGCATTTTGTAACTGCAAAGTGCCACATAAATTTAATCAGTTAAAAAAACCCAAAACAACACAACTCCTACTCAAATCCTTCTAAAGTGCTATTCTGATGATCTGACCTTGGGTACAGAGAGATATTCTGGAAGAATGCAAACTGTGGCATATCCTATCAAGTTGGAAAGCCAGCCAGCCAGTAAGGAGACAATAAGTCAGCAAGTATTTATTAAACACTTACTATGTGCCAGGCACTGTGCTAAGCACGAGGGATAAAAAAAATGCAAAAGCATAGGCCTGTCCTCAAGGAGCTTACAGTCTACTGGGGATGGTGACACAAAAAAACTGTACATACAGGATACATACAATGTCAATGGAGGGAAAGGCTTACCTAGAACCCAATGATAGACTGTCATGATATCCCCTGGCCCAGGCTTTGGCCTATCTAGAAAGACATCACCAGAAGGCTGTTTACCATGTGATTAATTTCTTTTCTGTCAAAGTAACTCATGAAGACTACCTGAGGGTTAAAAGGATTGCCTTTCCTCCATTCTCATACCAAACTATCCAACTGGGAAAGGGAGAGAGAATGCTTATTATACAGATTGTGACATGAGGTCAAGTGGACGATCTGTAGAGATGGTACAACAATGAATCTGTATTGAAGGGATGCTGAATGGGCCGTGAATGGAAAAGGGAGAGTAGGCCAGACTGCTTTTAGAAACTTGTGTCATGCTTTTAAATAACCCTTAGGTTTTCCCTGATTCAAAGGCCTACTTCTTTTTAAACATCATTATTCTTCTGGTCATGTGGTATGGCTATGAGTCATGGAATACCAGAGTTTTTGAAGGATTAAAGTTTGTAAGTCATATGAAGATGGAGAATGCTGGTAGCCTGCAATATGTCACTGTAGTGCCATAAAGTAGGTAATCATAAAATAGATATGTGACCAGGGATATCCTGGGTACTTATATTGATTTCCATCAAGAGATACAAAAAAACGGCTACCATTATATTGGTCATTGTTGATCAGTCATTTTAGTCATGTCTGGCTCTTCATGACCCCACTTGGGTTTTTTTTTTTTTGGCAAAGATACTGGAGTATTTTGACATTTCTTCCTCCAGCTCATTTTACAGATGAGGAAACTGAGGCAAACAGGGTGAAGTGACCTATTCAGGTTCACACACCTAGTAAGTGTCTGATGTTGGATTTGAATTGAAGTCTTCCTGATTCCAGGCCTGCTCCGCCTAGCATTTATGGGAAGTCCCAGACAATAATAATCTCAGAGGATGAGTTTGCATGACTAGGTTCAAATCTTGCCTACTCGCAAGAGATCACAGAACCATCCAAGTATATATCAGACAACATGCTAAGGATACAAAGACACAAATAAAACAGCCCCTGTCTACAAAGAACTTATATTCTACTGGGGGTGGGGGTGGAATGCAGC